CTTATGCAATGTATTTATGTTGAAAACATTCAACAAATTCACTTTTAGTAATAAAAACAAGAGTGTTACATTACATCTAAATAACAATAAAAGTCTTTGGAATATTCAATATCGTTTAATACAATTTAGTCAACACAGTCGCTTCAAAAAGTGAAATTTGTCCTAAGGCGTTTCCCGTCCATTTGAGACTACGCGGGCAAGAAGAGCGCGGCGGCCATTCTGGACGATTCATTCACCTGTGTGCGTTGTGCTCCCGTGATTTTTCTTCGATTTTTTGGTAAGTACTTCAATTTTCATAACCATACTAATTAAAACGATGTATAAAAGACATGAGATGGGGATTATTACTTTTATTTGATCAATATTAGTTATGTGCATTGTGCAATTTGTGAGAAAAAACGGGATATTTTTTAAAACGTTTTCATTCATGAAAATGCATTATGGATAACAGCGTGCCGAGCAGCCAAAAAGAACTTCGAGTTTGTGGACAAACGCGGTGTTTTGACGGAGTGAAGACTGCATTTCTTATTAAATTGAGCTCGTTTTTTACTGGTTAGCGGCTACCGTAGCAGAAACTCAATGCTAATGTATAGCCTTGAGCCCTGACACGTGCCGTCTTATTAGCCACACCTCAGCACACCTCATAATTGTGATGTTTTTCGAATTTCGAAAACGGATTGCTGCACTTGTAAATAGGATGTTATTTTGATAGTGTCAGTAGAATTATGTATTGTTAGTTTTGTACATCTTATAACACTGAGCCTCCATGTTCTGTTCTCCTCCTGAACTCCTGAAGTAGTATGTTTGATAGGACAGTGGTTCTCGGTGTGTTTGGCCACAGTGGAGCAGTACCCTCAGAAAAAAGCCACAAAATATGCTAAATCACTCTTTTCTCTGTTTTTCTAGGTTATGTGGAGATGTAAAGAGTGCTCAGCAACTGTGTGTAAAAGGTACGAGCTTCTGAAGCATTATAAATTAGTACATGGCCATTTTGGCCAGAGACACCCATATCCATGCACATATTATGAATGTCCATGCTCATTCAAAACTTGGAATGCCCTGAAAACTCATGTTTCACCAAAAAGTGCTGAATTAGAAATATACACATGCTTTTTGTGTCCAGGAAGTGCCATACCATCTAATAGAGAATACTTTGCTCATATTTACACCCACTTAAAGCGCTTTGAGACTATCACGTGTATGTACCAGAATTGTTCTTATCAATCTAATATATATGCTTCTTTTAAATCTCATAAAAACAGGAAGCACAGCACTTGCACTGTGAAAGACTTAAAAGTTGGAGTAGTGACAAACAGTAATGTAAATGAGGATCATTCACCTGAAGAACTTTGCACTGATTATGCAGAGACAGGTTCTGATTTAGATTCTGACCAATTAACTGAAACGGACAAAAATGAGAATCTGGAAGATGCAATTATTCATAAATTGGCATCTGTTCTTCTGAAGTTGGAGATTAACTCGCATGTTCCAAGCTCAGCAATTGATGTGTTACTGGAAGACTTGCACTTTATTTTCACTTCTGCTGCTGTGCCAATAACAAGCAGTATAGCTGTTGATGTTTTCAAAAAGCATGACCTCCACATTGATCAGTTAATAATTAACGAGCTGAGCATTGCTATTTCTACTCACAATCCTTTGTTAAAAGCAATAGCCAAGAATGGTCCACTAGCTACAGCATTCAAACGTCAACAATACTACAAGGAGCATTTTAAGGTTGTGGATCCTGTTGAATATGTTCTTGATGCAAGGGCAAAAAAAAACCTATCAATATGTTCCCTTACTGAAGTCTCTACAACAACTGCTGGAGCATAAAGATATAGTTGATAAACTTGTTGATAGTCACGCTGTAATGTAAATCAACAGCTGTATTGTTCATTTCAGGATGGTGCACACTACAAGAAAAATCTGTTTCTTTCAGGGGAAGATTTAAGAATATCCCTGTGCTTGTATGTTGACGACTTTGAATTGTGTAATCCCTTGGGAACATCGCGCAAGAAACACAAGCTTTGTGCTATTTACTGGGTTCTAGGCAATTTACCCCATGGTAGTAACTCAGCCTTGTCCTCAATTTACCTGGCATTGTTTTGCAAAAGTAGTCATGTTAGAGAGTTTGGCTATGAAAAAATATTAGATCCTCTTTTGCATGATCTAGTGACATTGGAGCAGCACGGGTTGTTTATACCACAACTGGGATCATTTATTAAGGGCACAGTACAGTGTGTTATTGCAGATAACCTTGGGGCTCATGGGCTAGCTGGGTTTGTAGAGGGTTTTTCAGGAAAGTATTACTGCCGCTTTTGTACAGCTGAGGACAGGGAAATTAAGGAAAAAGAAGTGAGATCAGGAGCATTTCAGCCCAGAACCAAGGACATTCATCAGAGTCATATCACAAAAGCTCAGGAAAAAGGGGAAAGTTGCTTTGCTGTTAAAAAACCTTGTGTTTTAACTCAAAGGCTATCTCACTTCAATGTCATTGGTGGTTATCCCCCTGACATTGTCCATGATCTTTTTGAGGGCATAGTTCCAGTTGAACTAGCACTGTGCATTCTGTCAAAGAAGTTTTTCACTCTTGATCGCATCAACAATCTCATTACATTGTTCCCATACAAGTGGGGGGATAAGACAAACCGGCCTCATTTGCTACCCAAAACTTTGTTGCAAAAAAACCTGAAGATTCAAACGATTGGTGGCAATGCCCACGAAAACTGGTGTCTCCTTAGGTTACTTCCTTTGATGGTTGGCACACTTGTTCCTGATGATGAACCTGCATGGCAGTTGATTTTGGATCTTAAAGATATTGTTGATTTGGTTGTTTCTCCCATTCATTGTGCCGAGACCATTGACTATTTGGAGTTTAAGATTTCAGAGCACCGACAACGTTTAAAGGAAGTCTTTCCTGATAAAAAGTTGTTGCCCAAGCATCATTTTCTGGAGCATTATCCAGAAATGATCAAAAACTTTGGTCCCCTAGTAGCACTATGGACCATGAGATATGAGGCAAAACACAGCTTTTTTAAGCAGATTGTTAGACATACAAAAAACTTCCGGAACATAACTTTGACATTGGCAAAAAAGCATCAATTGATGGTGGGCTATCATTTGAACATACCTGAAAGTGAACAATCTCCCTTGAAAGTGGCACAAGTCTCAAAGGTCCCCATTGATGTCCTAAACGAAGACGTTGTGCATATTCTCACTCTAACGTACCCTGAAGTCACTGCTGTGAACCTTGCCAATAGTGTCTCCATTAATGGCATTGACTACAAAAAGGGCATGATAGTTGTGCATGGATCTTGTGAGGGAGTCCCAGAATTCTCTGAAATAATCCAGCTCTGTATCATAAAAGGTGATTTAAGCCTCATCATTAAGAAGTTTTCTGCATGGTACTGGGAGCACTTCAGAGCCTACGAGTTGGAGCCAACAAGACAGGTGGCATTGGTTGGTTGGAAGGACCTTGCTGACCAGTACCCTCTGGCAGACTATAAAGTTGGATCCAAGCGGATGGTGACAGGAAAAAGATTTCTATATTTTAGAGGTAAAATGAATAAACTCAATAACTGTGTAAATGAACATGACATAGCCAGATGACATTTTTTGGTATTTTTTTTAGGAATCTAATGCTGTGTAGTTCTACTCTTCATATTGCCATGGTCAACTAATGCCTCATGGGCTTTGATGATCACCTTGAGTTAATGTTCATGTTAAAGATCCATGACACTGCACAGAGTAGGGACTTTTCTGGTGTCTTGGTGAAATTCCCAACCTGGCTATCTCAAACTACCACATAATCTCTGTGATTTAATTGGCTAATTCTGCACACTCCCAGATGTTACTGGCTCACTGTCGCTCTCTGTCATGAGGTGTTACTATTTGTTTGTCTCTCTTACTCTGTCTAACATTCTGCTTTATTATGACTTGCGTTGCAGTGTTTCCCCTGGAATTTTTTTCAAGCCCGGTGGTACCCACCAAAACAATACACAGATGAGATGCATGGGATGGTATATTGGTGCAATTGGATTAAGTCAGGTGGCACAGCAAGCCTTCTGCAATTCTGTAATTATTATTTGCATTCAAGAATACATTGGATACAATGTATCATTTATTGGATACAGTACAAATGGAACATGCTACATTGGCACTTCAACCACACAGTGTGCATCGTTCTCTGCTGCACTTGATTTTTCTGTGTTTTGTGAAGAACTTCAACAAGGCCTTGTCGTAGGGGAACTTGGCCACAGGGGGACCATTGATAGAAACTCCCATGCAGGCCCCAAAGAGCTCCCCCTGCAGCCTGTTCCTGAGGTCCTTTATTTTCATCATTGGCAAAAAAAAAAAAAAATCAACAAATTGGAAACTTACCATGGGGAGTGTGGTACAACCACGGGCTGTAATTATAGTTATTAAGCCATTTGGGATCCCAGCCAGATGTTTTGTGTTTATGTTTTTGTTTTTTTTTGTGTTTTTTGCTGGGTCAATGTTACCAGTCGCACTGGGCCCATCACCCGTCAGACCGGTGTCAGGGGCAGTAAAGGTCTTCAAGCAGCGCCTTTGTTGTGTTACCTCTGTTTTTGTCATTGGATTTTAATTAGGATTTGAAAAGTCGTAGTTGATGGCCAGATTTGCGTTATTACATTTTCCATTTCATTAATATCCTGTCTTTGTTTTTCTTAGATTGAATCCAAGATGGCTGCAATCCTAAGAGTTGTACTTGGAGAAGACAATGTAGTTGTTTTGGATCTTCCCAATGGAATACCACCTGAGCTTGAAGACCTTAAAGCAGAGATCAAAAGACAGCATGACTTGTCTGAAAATTTTAGACTCCAGTTCAGAGATGCAAGATTTGACAGTGACTTTGTAAACTTGTCATCCACGTCCCTAATAAAAGACAGGAGCACAGTGAAAGTAATTTATGTAGCAAATGAGTCAGGCACTACCACTCGTGATGGTTCCTTAACGTGCCCTGCAAATGGAGGACCATCAGGCCGTCTGCTTCAAGAATCAGATGATACTTTGTCCTCAGCATCAGACAGACATTCTTTCCTCTGCCTCATCCTCAAATTCACTGTCGTCCACCAATTCAGGGTCATCCTTGAGGTTAAAGCCATGGCCCCAAACCTTCACTATACCCCAGTTTGCTGTTGAGATAGAGCATCAACTTGCTCAGGCCAACGATGCCTATCGCAGGGATGGCACTCATCTGAGTCCTAGTACCAGACTTAGGTCAGGCATTCTACATGGGTTGGTAAAAGAAATGGTCAAATACAAAATGTATCCTGAGAGCAAAGACTTGGAACAAGTGGCCCGAGCTCTGATTGAAAAACATCCTTGTTTAGGAAATCAAGGAACTGGTTACGGTGGATGGAAGATAAGTTTGGGCACTAAAATGAACAATTATCGCCAAATACTGAGAAACACTGGCTACCCAGAGTTGAGCCTAAATTTTGTGAAAAGAAAGATGGAGCGGGGTGCCTCAAACCTAAGTCCCAACCAAGTGAAGAAGCCACGTAAGGCTGAAGTAAATTTCCTTCCTAATTATCCTGAGGGTGAAACTACAGAAACTCTTGAGGCCCAAAGGCAAGCACTGGTTTTGGAGCATAAGCAGAAAAACTCTTGTAGAAACCCACAGATCAAGATGAAAATGGATAGAACCTTTTCCTATAGAAGACAGGAAATCATCACAGAGATGCCCTTCATCGCACAGCTCCAAAACAGATGGCCAGCTCTATTTACTCCAAGTGAGGTAAAGTACAAGTCATCCTCTGTGTGATTAACTTATTGTATGGTGTATTTAGTTTAAGGACCTGCACATCACATTGTGACACCACTGTAGTGATCTGTATAACTCTTGTTTTCAGTTTAAGATTTTCTTGTGCATCACTCCATGTGTTTCAGGTAAATGCTGAATTCACCCGCATTACCACTAAACCGCTGGTGTCCACCTTCATGTTCCAACTGGATCATTACACAGATCCGTTGTTGAAGACCTTCCGAAAGAAGGGGGGAACAGCAGGACTAAAGATAACAGGGATCCTGGCAGCCATGGGCAAGGTCTGTAGTTGCATGAAATCATTTACACATGATCCAGATTATAACATCTGCTTCTGTCCTAACCTAAGTGTTCTGAAAACTTAACATGAATGTCCACATTCACTAAAAGTATATGTTTTCTATGTGTAATCAAGCAACATCTGAAATGACATGGACGCTATTCCATGCTTGAAGGGTAAAAAAAAAATCTATACATTTTTTTTAGTTCTAAATGGGTTAAATGGTGTACTTTGAGCACTTTACCCTATGTCACCAACTTGCACCTTTCTCATTCAGCTTATAACTACTTCTTTACCCTGTCTCTCCTTGTATTTTCTCACTGCCTTGTGTATGGGCAATGTGCACATGGGTGTCCTTCACTCTGCAAGTCCTTAAAGTATGAACATTCTTTAAGTAGCCTAATTAAAAAATCTGAGCACTTATTTACATACAGGACTGTCTCAGAAAATTAGAATATTGTGATAAAGTTCTTTATTTTCTGTAATGCAATTAAAAATCATGAAATGTAAAAAAAATAAAAGGCTTGCGATATTTCAGTTGATTTGTAATGAATCCAGAATGTATGACATTTCATGTTTTTTAATTTCATTACAGAAAATAAAGAACTTTATCACAATATTCTAATTTTCTGAGACAGTCCTGTATATCCTAATGGCCAGTGACAAATTGAAATTTATTATAAATGCATTCAGTTGTTACCTCTTAATTTTAACAAAATTTATATGATGTATTTATTTATTTATTTTTAGTTCTTCTGCGGCACAATGGAAAAAAAAATAACCCACAAAATCTTAATCCTACCTACAGAAAATGTATACCTCTAAACCTGTTTTACTTTTATCATTTTGCTTTTTGGAATACGTGCATTCATAATTCCAAATCCTTCATACTTAACTTTAACTGTCGTACTTACTTTGGATAGCCAAGTGAACTAGAATGAACACTCTGATCACCTGCACCCTGATTCTGTATTTTTTCTGTGCATAACTACATTCCCAGGTAGTCAGAGGTCAGCATATCAGTTTCCTGTTGTGGTTAGTGGGAAAATGAACCCAGTACAGAAAACCTGTGTTCTTAAGATGTACGCAGAGTCTACTGTGTAGATTTGAAGCTTTATTTCTCTTCCACAGAATCCCTCTGTTGAAAAACGAAGAGAATGCATCCTGAAAGCGCTTTGCGTTTACCTCAATGAAAATCCCGATAACCTCATAAAGGAGTCCCTGGTAAGTTTAGTTAAATAGTATGATATGAATCCTGGGATGTAACGTTTGTTGTTTTGAATATTCAGTATACATATTGATTTTCTGTAGATCATCAAGCAACCAAAGATCTCTCCTTTTTTGATTGTGACCTAATGTTTACTGAATGGGACATTTCATGAAAATAAAATAACGCAGTTCACTGGATCTACATGAGAACATTGAGGCTCCAATGTGGATCTTTGAATTCATGTGGCCAGCCTGTGATGTCAGTCAACTGTGATGCCAGTCAACTGACGTATCGATTATGGATGACTCCAAAGTTAGTCATAGTGTCAGTGCAATCAGACCAATTGATCTCAATCCTTAAATTGCGCTTAAATATTTCAAAAAGTCTAAAAATGAAAATAAAAAGGTGTACTTCTGTGCCCAATTGGCAGCGTGCTTACAAGGTTTGTTGCTGATTACTTCCAGGTGTCAATTTAAGAGGTTAAATAATTTCAGCTTCTGATATAAAAGTATTTTCTACACTACTTTTTTTTTTATCATTGTAGTTGGTTTATATTTGGGCTGTTATGAATATCTTTTTAAAATAGTGTGACAATAAGACATTCTGAGACACTGACTGTTAAAACATATTCATTAATACTTTTTTTTTAAATCCCTTTTTTTTAGGATGTTGATCCTGAAGCACAGCAGACAATGAATAATCAACTTGACATGGTGGTCTATGTCATCCAACATGAAGGTGCGGAGCCCACAGATGACCCTGGAGAGGTCAACATTATCATAGAGGGAGTGGAAGTGCTGCAGGACGTGAAGGATATGGCAAATGGTTGCGCTCTCCTCCTTGGACTCATCTACTGCCTAAATCTGGAGTTCCCCACTAACCTCAAATACACCTTTGAATTCATTCAGAAGGTGTTGATGGACATGGATGGACAGAAACTGTCACGGAAGGTAGAGGTCCTCAAAGGTAAATTATATGAATAAGGGAAAGGAGTTCACCATGTTCTTGCACCAGTAGTGCCTATGACTGCTACCAGTTGGAAGGGAGTCAAATCCAACCAGAGACTTATTTTTTGTTATTTCCATCCTTTTATTTTTATTTTATTTATTTATGTATTTTTGTTTTACTTTTGGCTGGAAGAGCATTTTCAATGTGTGCCTGCTTGTTCAAGTGAGCCTGTGAATAGCTTCTCTCGACACCAGCACTGTTCATTAGACGTCTATTGAAATTCAATATTGTGGGATGGAAGTATATGCTGTTGTAGGTGTCAGTGTTAAAAATTATTCATACATTATGTATTTTATGGGTGCGTTACCTGTTCTGGTGGCATTGTTCCCTAACACCTCACAAGTGCACTTGCTGTTTTTGTGTGTTCATTTTTAATTTGTTTACATATGGCTATTTTCCACAGAGACACAGACAGACACAGACACACAAGATGACAGACGCACTAGAAGACTGACACACTAGAAGACAGAGGCACACAAGAAGACAGACACAGGAAAACACGGACACACTAGAAGACACGGACACATTCAAAGCACTTGGGGCCTGTGTTCAGCACATTTGGCAGATGCCTCGTTTTGTCCTCAAGGTTGTTATAAAAAATAAAATGTGAATGTCAATTTACTCAAGTGGTATTTTTTTGAAGCCCTTCCAACATGAATACATCTAATTTATGTTTAGTATATTTAACTTTAGGGATTTTAGTAAATGGAACAAAATGGTGTTTCATAAATTCTACATAAAGTCTATAAGTAAATTCAATGTAATGTTTAATAAATTGAACGTAATGATGTTTAGTAAATTCAACATAATGATTAATAAATTGAATGTAATGATGTTTAGTAAATTCAACATGATTGATAAATTGAACATAATAATGTCTAGTAAATTCAACGTAATAGCATTAGGTAAATTCAACATAACTGTATGATGTAGAACTTAATTGAGACAGTTTGCTGAAATTTAGTGATCTAGTTTTCTTTAAATTTAAATAAAATGGTTTTGTGGGACCGGTTGACGTTACTTTATTATTTAAATCTAATGTTCTATTTCTTTGAGT